TCGTCTTCATACTCGCCACCCTGAGAACCTCAAACTTCACCTTTCAACACCTAGTATGGAAACATGGACGAGCCCAGTCAGGACAGCTGGGCCCCAAATTTCGCAACAAATCAGTAGGAATCAATCCTGAAACACTATTTTCCAACCGATCAAGTAACCCAGGTCGTTCCGAAAACAGCCAGACGACTCGCCAGAGTTCGCCTGCTGCTCAGGGTCTGATGTCCAGAGATTAAAAATATACACCTGGAAAAGTAGACCTAATATCTGATCCATTCTGAGGGTCACGGAATCCTGTCTTTAATTGCGCCCCAGGTAAAACTAGTCCCGCACTGGTGATCTACGAAAGAACGTTATCCGCACACCCCATTATAAGATAGATGGGTATTGTCCACACAATAAAAACACAAGCAGTCCGCATCGCTCATTGTCAACAACAGTGTCCCCTACACCCGTCCATCTGCTTGTAGATGCCGCGTGTCAGTCATCCTACGCCAGAGAAAAAAACACACGGTCACGGATATCAACCCTTTCCATGCTAATGTTAAAAATATTAATTTTGTTTGTATATTTCCATCTTATGCACAAACACACATATGGAAGATGAAGTTTATCTATCTGAATATCATCTTAGGAAGCAGTGAAAATTTTTGATAAAATTTGGTAATGAAATATGTCCGCGAATATAATTTTCTTAGTACTGAGTCAATACAAGTTTACTTGAAACAAAATATCAAAGACAGATCTCGTTAAGATCTACGACGTTTGAGATCTGAGGTTCTCACGGCGATGAAGGCGTCGACATTGGTCTTCTGGGTTGTTGTGGGCTTACATGTAGATACCAACGTTTCGAGGATTACAACCCAGAAGACAACATCGACATCTAAAGCATTTATCTGAAACGTTTTACATATGAGGATTACTGTACAAAATAGGGCAACATTATTTTACTCACAGGGACTGCAGAATTAATTAGAGAGGAAGATATGGTGATCTCTGGCAATTACTGTACAAAATAAGGGCAACATTATTTTACTCATAGGGACTGCAGAATTAAGTAGAGAGGAAGATATGGTGATCTCTGGCGAAACGGATGACACCAAAAAATTCCTGAATTCACGAAGAAGAACCACAAAAAATGTCTTGGCTGAAATTTTAGCGGAGACCTTTCCACTTGGCAATCCGACGCACTATTTTCCCAGAATAATAATATTACTATTATTACATTATTCCACAAAAGTATAAAAACAGGTTTTAAAAATTAATCGCAATTGTACGAATTGAATTCAAACAACAGATCGCATGTGTTATTTTCATTACAGAACGATATATTGATGAGTATTACGAAAGGAAAAAGTTTAATTTGTAGACTTTTTTCCTAAAGGAATTTTGGAAAAGCTTACAGTAGGGCTTGAACCGTGATCCATCGAACGTAACCCTTAACATATTACGAACTATTTTTCTCGAGCATATAATTCCGTACTTTCATATTTTGTGCATTATTAATGTTTTACTTCAATACCTTTTGCTTAATTATACGTTCTCCATTGGGCTACATGTATAATTAACGTCTTTGCGTTCGTATTCATGTGGATATGTCCTCAAATATGTGTACACATACACGCAAGTCTAAATTACTTCGCCATATTTTGCATTTAAAAATTAACGCACATAAATGATGGGGATGAAAGTACTGTGCCATATGCCACTTATCGTTTGTAGACATTGCGTACCCAACCAAGTGGCGGTAGAAGGGGGAAGGGGACTTCGACCAGTGACCCCTCTCTTTCCAAACGGACGCAGCTTCACTCTCGGGGTCCAGCTTCTTTGCATATTTACACATACGCACCCAAGGGTTTCATTGTTTAAATGCACTGTATATATATGCCATAGACTAAGAGGCGGGGTAAATGGCATATGAGAAAAAAATTATTAACTAAAGGGTTGGAAGCAAGATTTAAAAATGTGGACACATACGGCCTCGATCAAAGTAAATGCAACACTTTTTCTTCATGATACAATGAATCAGGCCGGGTTAAGCTGGTGGCTTTTCGCCACGGCATCGCGTCCTCAGGTGGCGGATGTACGAGACGACCACCGGCTTTGCGGCACAAGATCCCAGACTCGGACAGAATCTTTGGAACGACCAAAGAAAGTGCATATAGAATGTAGGTTGAAAAATATGAATGGACACGAACACTTAGGCGATAAATTTTTAATAGTTGCACATAAATTAATTTTGTTGCCCACCAGATTTATATTTCTTTCCTATAAACAGAACTTATACTAAGTGCAAGGGCCTGGTCATAGAAGAATCATGTTTCCAACAGTCAGACGCGTAAGAATAAGGCTGGCCGACCCTAACTTTAGATGTGCTACAGGATTTGAAGAAATTGGTAGCGACTTTCTATTTTCAAAGAAGTATTATATTACGTTGTTCAACAGAAATTCTCCTTCGACTGTTGAGGTTTTCACGGCGGCGAGTATGAAGATGGCTGTCTTCTGGGTTGTTGCGCCGTGTAGTCTGATAGAAGTTTACCGACGTTTCAGAGGTCCTTGCTACATCCATCATCAAGGATCTGATTGTGGAGGCAGCAGACCTCTGAACCATCTATAAACTTCTACCAGATTCCACAGCGCTTCAGCCCAGAAGACAGCCATCTTCCGGAATTGAATTGCTGCATATATTATCCCCAACACTGTAGTGAGACGCGTCATGTTCATACGTACACGCACACTGAGCAAAAGACCGCATCGGTGCGTACAAAGCAAAATAAAAATTCTTGCTTGTTAAAACTGGTTCCTTTTCTTTACAATAAGAAAAAAACTGGACACACATCAAATAAGGCAATGAAGAGAGGATTTCTTTCTTTTTTTATATTTGTCAACAGAGCCAGTTGCGCATTTTCATTGTGCACACACACACTCTTGCGTCTTCTATTCCATCCACGTATGAAGAGCTTTGAGCAATATCGGCATATAGTTCTGTCTGGCTTCCTACAAATTAACAGTTTTAGATAATCTCACTGATGTTGAGGCAGTAAGCTCCTCTCTCTACCAGACTAGACGGTGCTACATACCACAAGACAGTCGTTATCATAATTTTAACATTACGCATAAAACTATTGGGCAGGATCCAATTCTTGTTTCGTACTCTGTTCTGGAGACCATGACAAACAACAGCTAAATAAGTTATGTTAACAAAGAGATTCATGTTATTATATGGGCGTAATTACTTCGAGATTTTGTATTTCCTTTGACCTTTGTTTGTCCTTAATGGTTTTTTGAATAATTTTAAACAAAACTAAACGTTTAAACACCAAGGTAGAAACTGAAGTTGCGAGAATTATACAATTAATTAAGCAATCGCCAGAACATAAGCGAAAAAAGCCGGTAAATCGTCCTGATGATAGAGACAGCAAGGACCTCTGAAACGTCGGTGAACTTCTACCAGACTACACGGCGCAACAACCCAGAAGACGGCCATCTTTAGACTCACCGCAGTGATAACCTCTAATCTCACATATTTCGTATAGGTTATAATAGCGTGATTTAGCGTCACATATTTCGTGTAGGTTATAATAGCGTGATTTAGCGTCATCAGTAGTTCCTCGAACATGTTACTTCAGTTCCGCAGAAAGTAATTCATCAGTCTGCTGGGAATATTAATTTTTCTCTACCCCAGGGAAATTAAATGATATCATCGTTATGCAGATAGCCAGCAAACCTCCCCCAACCCCCACCACAATTCAACCAACATATAATAATTCTGGCACGACGTTAGTCACGAAGTAATTATCACTAAAATACCCATAGACATATACAAACTGACGAATGAAGACGACAGTAAGGTGTATATGAAACATCGCCTCTCATTTTTAACCACTAAAGGTCAGCATCACGCTGCAGCAGCTTTGCCCCAGGGAAATAAACCCCGGTGCCCATTGGCTAGGATGGTACATGGATCCCAGAATCGGTCTTAAAGCAGTGGCAAGGGGAAAATCCAATCCTTGCACGAATCCAATACTGGTCGTTGAGCTCGTAATTAGCCACTTGACTGACAACAATCTCAGCTCATGCACACACAAATGCAGATAAAATGAACGCAAATCCAAATAACAGATATTCTTGCTTGTCTATGGGCCAAAATACAGCTCTTTTTGTGAGATTATCTTATCGCCTATTATTTCTCACGTAAATAACAAATATACCGAAGGACATGATGAAGAGATTCATGCATCAAACTTTGTTAGTATCATCAATATGTAAGACATGATAACAAACGTACAAAATTATTTCGTCAAACCTCAACAGAAGAAGGTGTAATGCCTTGAAGCCACTACTGTCTCCTTAAGAATCCTTACCTACTATCTGTGCATGTTCTTCTTAGTCTCATTATGCAATAATATCAGTCATCTAAACAGCGTCGTTTAATAACTCAATTAGTCCAGGCTCAAGCAATAATCGAACCTGCGGTTCCAGCGTAAAGCCTTAAGCGTCGCTAATTACAGTGGTCATTACCCTAAGGCGTCAAAGTAGTTCCAGTCTGACCTGTTGTCAAATTGGATTTCATGTCTAACACAAGGCAAGATGGGATTTGTAAGATTTGAGGTTTTCACAGCGGTGAGGATGAAGATTTCTGTCTTCTGGCTTGTTGCGCCGTGTAGTCTGGTAGATCACGGTCTGGAAAAGAGCTTCGTATTCTGAAGACGGAAGAAAATTTTATGTTCAAAGCATTTCATCCACCCTGAGCAAACGTGAAATGGCAGCATCGAGACAATTGAAAACTGATTCTCGTATACATAAACGTGTTGTTTAGAGAACTCAGTTTGTGCCAAATGACGTTTTGAAAGAAAAGCCAAATCGATAACTGTAATGCAGTGAACAAACTGCATCGACGAAACAAGAGCGGACGGACGCTGGCCCGGGGAGAGGGGGCACGGGCGTCAGAAGATTATAGATCTGTTTTGTCCCCAACTTGAATTACGTATGGGTATGTACGAAGCATCATAGTGGGCTGCAATGTGTGAGAAATGGAACAGAAGATGCGGTGTAAAGGTGTAGTGAAAGAAGATGGAAGCAGAGAGGAGTGAATGTCCATCAGGGAACCAGAAAGAGAGAATTAAGAGGGAAAAAAACTATAGAACTAAAATGAAGGGTGGAGAAGGAGGACAAGGGAGCATATGTGCATGTACTAGCATGTGAGCTGTGGACTCTGTACCCATATGCAGTTGTGGGATACGGCGTGCGAGGACCGGATGACCATCACGCTGTAAGTACAGCAAACACCGAATTATATGTTACAGTTCAAAGGGAAGCTCACACACAGAACCTAAACCATTTACACAAAATTCTGTGAATGTGGCATTAAGACTATAAATGTGTCTGTGATTAGTGTAAAAAAAATTCACATATGTACGTTAATTTATATAATTATATCTGATTAGTGTAAAAAAAATCATATATGTACGTTAATTTATATAATTATATATTACAGAATCGTAATATGGTTGGCAGCATTGTGAAATGGGTGGGTTCCATACTTACCAGCGAGTTATGTCGAATGGTTGAATGTAACGTGAGTTTCTTCCTCAAATAGTGCGTTTTACCAATGAATTATGCTTCCTTACCGTTTATATACAATCACTGAAAATAACATGTTACATTTGAGCGACGTTGTTGGCTGGTTCGCTTGTTGGGAGAGTTGCTGACACAAAGGGTGGAGCCTAACTACAGAGACAGTAGTCGTTAATAACTGTGACGTAACTGTAACTTAACAGTAACTGAGTCGAAGTTCCTTTTGTGAGTTTTATTCTTAACGACGAATTAAATAAGCAAGATATATATATATATATATATATATATATATAAACTAATCTAAATTAGTTGGTTTTTTGGTATGTTCGTTTAAGAAAGGGACAGGGGAGCAGTGAACTACAGAAACAGAAACAGAAACCATTGTTTCTGGCTTTAATAGCCTCACAAATGTTTCCAGATAAGATCCTGGAATAATACAAAGCCAAGAGAATGTATTTTAGTTAACGCCGGCACAAACGAGACAGATATACCTACAAGAAAGCCTGATATGGTCTCCAAGTTTCAGTTCTTTGTTCTTAATCATTCTGAAAGTAACCATCTCCCATTGAATTTCATATGTCGGCGACTTCCAAATACTGTTCTTTCGTAAAGAAGCATTTTCGCGCCATTTAAATGTTATCCGATCTGTAGTTCAAGAAATTACAGACAGGGGCACACATGCCCACGCTTTCTGATTATAACAGGGTCCAACGTTATTAAATATACAATACTACTCCGAAGATAACTGTATTCTGGTTGTTTATCCGGGTAGCCTGGTAGAAATTTACAGACGTTTTAGAAGTGCTTACTACGGCGACCACTAAGTACCGCAAACACTTAACCATTATAAAGATCAACTGGTTAATACTGGTACAGGAAATAATCGCTGTTTCCACTGAGAATCATACGAATTACGAGTCACATTATCATACGAAACACATAAATACAATTCGCCCTGATGACGGAGGCAGTATGACCTCTGAAACGTTGGTTAACATCGACCAGACTACACAGCGCAACAACCCAGAAGACAGAAATCTTCCTTCACATAAATACAAATTGCAGAGTTACTGACTGCTACATCACGTTTCTTATAGTTATCACTCGGTTTTAAATGTTGTATTTGGGGGGGGGGGGTCCTAACACATTACTTAGAAAGCAGTCATATTCCAAGTTTTGCAAAAGAAATTCAATTTATGTAATGCACTTATTTCGTTGTTTGAAGATGTAACAATATTATTTTGAAAGATTCCACTGTAACGTGACACTGATTATTTAAATTTAGAAATGTAGTTCATACAACAAACAGAAAGATATCTACTTTACAGAAAGCAACACCATTTACCTCAAGAACAATTCTAAGGCTGCTCTACACGCTGTTAAACGTTTAATTTTGGATTTCATATATTATTAACGATTATCCTAAAGCGCGCGGCTACTCATGGTACCTGCAAAATCAGTTCTACATTGGGCCTTTGACATGAATGAACAGACGCATGCATTCATAGTTTAATAGTCAGGAGGACACCAGACCTTCGAATCAGACAGATGTCCAGTACAAGGCATGGAAAGGGCAATCTACCGATATTACCATCAGCAAGTATTACTTCTGTGGCTTGTTCCATTCTTGCTGAGATTCATTAGGTAATGAAACCAAACCACTGCCAGTGGGCAAACTATTTGCTACTGTACCCTTCGACCACTATAATTTTTAGGTCGTATGAAATACGTAGGGTTTACTGAAGAAAAAATACATTCACCTCATATTTAGACGGTTTTGATAGTGAAAGTATACCTGTGACCAAAAAGGTATTCGGTACGTACCAGGTTCGAATCTCCGCTCATAATTATCCTCAGACCTACCAAGCACATACTGAGATAGGACCATAAAATAAGCCACATCTTTCAGTCAATCCTGTAATTCAGTGATACACGCGTGGTTTCATGACCCAATAATTATTACCAGAGATGTATCTCAGTTTTAAAAACACAATAGCTGAAAGCTGAAGGCAATATAATAAACAATACACAAATGAGCACTAAATTTATCCACATATAATTGATCAACAATTGTACAAATTAGCCAAAAGAAAATGTTTACTCTCGGCAAGTAATTTGCGATACATATGAATATTAACAAACTCTGACATTTTCGCATAACAATGAATGTGGTGGTGAACATAATAATGATAATAATATAAATTTGAAAGCAGTAACTGTTAATAATAAAACAACTTTCAAACAGAGCCAAAATACTGAAAGATAATTGTGCAGCAGCTGTTAAATAACCATTCTCTATTGGCTTCAGAACAACGACGTAGGTCAGAGGGGCACAACACAGCCACACTGTCAGTGGACCCGATTTTGATGTAGATGACCGGGTATATCAAACGTCCAGCAGCCAGCGTAATGTAGTTACCACTCGAATTTAAAGCCATGGACATTAAAAACAAGTATAATCGTGAATCAGTGCGTTAATATGATCACAAAGAATAATTCGATCATTCAACTACTTTTTGAAATTAATTTATTCCGACCGTAAATAAATACGCTAATTATATGGAATTAACGAGGCGAAAAAAAGACGAGAGTAGAACATGAATCGTCAGCATCACAGACGGGCAAGCAACAATCGATCTTGTTTCGATTTCCACCTCGACGAAGTGGAGCCAGGAGCCACGCCCAGTACCAACGTTCAGTACAAGAACTAATTACTCACAATGCTCCTGTATATATTCAAGATGGCCGGAAGTCTTATTTACAAACACAAAGTACAAGCCTACAGTACAACATGGATACCCAGCTCTCATAAAAGATTCATGAAACATGCACACTCCATTTTCCTTTTGGTCTCGTGGGATACATAAAGAGAAAAAGAGGAATGCGAATATAACTAAAAGGTGCAGAAGTCAAGAAAACGTAGATTAGAACATTATTATCGTAATGCACAATTGTAAGCAGTATCCTAATTTTCTCACTCTAATGGTGGCTTCCTAACCTACAAACTGTTATGTTTTATAAATTGGCCACATAAATTATATTTCTTCAAACATGTTCCCTAAGGTAAACATATTCTTATAGAATAATAACTTAATCCTGAAATTAAAATTATTTCGTCCCAGTTCTGAGGATATCTACCACAGTTTAAACTATTTACGTGCAGAACTTGATTGGAAGTGTCTTAATAATAAAGCCATTCGCTATTTGGAAATATTTCGACACGAGGATTTTTGGAATAAGAAGCCCATTCGCTATTGGGAAATATTTCGACACGAGGATTTTTGGAGCTTGTAATTAACACGTTAAATGTTCTATTTCACTAGGCTAATCCTTTGAACCAGAAGCTCGTCTTTATTATATTTAATAATTTAGTTCTTACCTCATAGAGAACACAACCCATAAACATTACAGATATCAAATGTTTAGTGATTTTTAAGGAAATAATCCCTGTTTACAACGAGAATGATATTAAAGCGGTAAATAGGTTTTGTGGGCCAAACGCAGAATATTTTATTGTTAAATTAGGTGGCACATAGTTACCAGAGGGGTTCAAGGGGTTCATTTTATGCATAAAAATTATTAAATTATTACAGTGAAGTTAATGTAGGATCATAATTTCCAGTTACTGATATTAGCATATATTGTAAGTACAAAGAAATTAAACTAAATTTATTCATATCTGTAGGAAGTCGCAGATGTCGGATAGAAATATGACATAAAATTAAAACAGAAATTATAGGAACTTCTGAATAAAGAGCAAATGGTTTATTACCAAATCTCACTTACGTATCGTCCTAATAAAGGTACTAAAAAGTTGCAAGTATTTCTGAACATGCTATTGTGGCCTACAGATTAAATTTTGGGGCCTGGTCAATCCTGATAGTTGTTGCTACGTTCTCATTGTATATTATCAAGCATACCGAATATAATAAATACTCAATAAGTGATTCGTCTTCATTTAAAAACTAAAGATCCAGAGAAATAGGTGGTCCTATAATATGTTAAAAATAATTATTATAAAAGCAAATGGGGAGAATTAACAGACGACTGCAAGAAATTATATAAGGACCTTCATAATATGTCCTTTTCCTCAAATATTATGAGATCGATCAAATCAAGGAATAAGAGATGAACAGGATATGTAGCGCGCAAGGAAGTACATTAGAAAAACCTGAATGGAACCTACAAGTTGGAAGATCTAGGCATAGATGGGAGAATAATATTAAAATGTAATTAAAGAAACAATGTGAGGGTGTGGATTGAATTCATTTGGCTCAGGACTGGATCCAGAGACTGGGTGCAGTAATTGGCGTTCCGGTTCCAAAAAAGGTTGGGCATTTCTTGATTACCAGAATGACCATTAGCTTCTAATTAAGGGCAATGTATCATATTGCTTAAATACGGTTTTGTAAAAGGAGTTGCTGCACAGTCGTTAAGACGCTTTGCATTTAATGTGACTTATAATGGGAAACATCACTCTGAACGAAATTTAGGTTTCTTCCGGTTATACACGTCTTATGACCAATTTGATAACATACAATTATCTACGGATTAGCGGTTCAACAGTGTTGAAATTACACTTAAGTTTAGTGTAAATGACGCAGAACATACAAAGAATAAACAACGCAATAAATATATCGACTAACTGAATTTATTTTCAAAAGATTTTGATTAGATGTGCAATTTATTTATAAC